ATAAATGCTTATCTACTGATGGAAAATTATGTTTATGAGTTCTGGACATGCATTATTTTTCTAATTTTTCACTTCATTCCTCAGCATTCGAATGGTTTTCGGGAACTACGAATGATATATGAACAGAGGAAAAATACAGCAAAACTTCAAAATTTCTTTCTGAGAAAATAGAAAGAAAAAAGACGAAATGAACTATCACAGACATAAAACTGGAGCAATTTTGCAAAGGATACATGAATCTGGCAAAGAGAAACTCCTGTCCTGATCCACCTGGCGAAAAAGAAAAATCAAATGTCAGTCATATCAATGCCTGTTTCACTGTTGGCCGATATGGAGATGAAAATTAGTATATATAATTAGTATTTATAGAATTACTGGATCAAGCTCCTCATCTGCATCCACGTCTTCTTCAAGATTGTAATCCTCCATCTCATCTTCATCTTCGTCATATTCAGCTTCATCATTGGTTTCTTTATCTTCGGTTTCTAAAACTTCTGCGATGTGGAAATATATATTATATGTTACTGCAGTAAAAAGGAGAAGATAGACGAGCGATCATTCATTTACACAACTGCCCAGCAAAAGTTGAAGAACATGTCATGATAGTTATTGTATGATAACTATGTGAATCATACAAAAGCTCAACTTTAAAAGCATTGGAGGACAAGATGGCCATTAAGTTATTTTTTATTATATAATTAATTTAAATAAAATAATAAATTTTTATTCTTTAATTAATGTATTTTCCAATTGAATAACATGAGCATTGATCTACACAAATCAATGGCTAAAAATGAGTCTCATGTATATATGTGTGTGTGTGTGTGTGTAATCAAGAACTATATGATTTAAACAGTTGATAAGAACCTTTATCAGCTTGCTTTCCCTCTCCATCAGCTTTTGTATCCATCTTATTCACTTGCAATCTCTTTGACTTCTCAAAGTTTTTGGTAACACTTCGGAGCAATGATTCTGCGCCAGCCTCAGGATAAACTGACAGGAACCTCTGAGCGACTCGCCATCTCAAGGACTCAATTACATGTGCTGAAAACCACCCAGTTTGCAGCTGGCAAAGATGAAACTCATTCAAATGTTTTCTTATACACATACTAGCATGATAAATGTGCAAGTAAAAAACTAAAAAAGAAGAAAGCTAAAATTTATAATAGATTATTTTTACTAGATGCTTAGCAACTAGCCAATTACCACATCATTCTAATATTATCTTGGATGAGTTTCCAGGACAGGAGGACAAGTCAGTTTTATTATTTTTTTCTTAATACTTATTTAATCTACATAAACAAAAAAAGCTTTAGATTTCCCATATAAAAAATATGCCAGCTTTTTCTAAAGACAACATTGGAAAGTATAGATAAAGCATACATTGCAGTTTTCTTGACTTGCAGGTTTCCGGATTTCTTGTTGAATATAGTCATCCTTAAGTTCAAAGAGTTGCAAAGAAAGCTGACATTTGCGAGGGAAAACTCGGAATGCACAAATATCCTCCCACCTGCACTTCAATCTATACAATAGAACACAAACAAGTTTGACCGAAGACGAAAAAAAGGAACAGGACGACATCATCCATGAATTATTGAGTTTCAGTTAAATGAAATAAACAAGTTACAATTTGTATAAATTTTCTTTTATCGTTATTTATCGAATTCAGAAATCTTGAAGTGAAACAGAAATTCATGGACCTCATGATATATATTTGAAAAGACCACGACGAATATCAATTGTTCAGTCTGTAACAACCCCTGTACAGTTTTATATAAGATTGATAATACCTAGTAAAAGCAGACAAACAGACTTCTTCGCTTAAGGGAAGAGTTGGACGCAGCTATGGACAACAAATTTACTAGCATGCTATGCAAGTGACTATTAGTACTTTCCCCAGGATAAAGATTTAACCAATGAAAAAAAAAATGACGCGATTAATATTCGCTTCTTATACTGCAACATGACTGAAACACCAAGTAAACCATTACGTACGTAAATCTTGAAGAATCATGAGAAAACCTTACCCTGATAGCTCATTGGTGTCACAATAACCTCGTAATGAAGGAGGTACTCGAAAATCAGTCCTCTGATATCTAATTAAGGCACAAGAAGCAACCATTGCAATTTACGGGCAACACAGAAAACAAATTTATTAGATTCATTCAGAGTACAAATATTTCCAGGACTTAAATAGAATATAAAAGTAATAAGTAATGACAGAGATTGAAATTCTAGCACTGTCTGGACATACAAAGATCCACACGTACATTGGATCTGAACAGAATAATTAGTCTTCCTCAAGAGACTTGGCCTTTATAAAAGGAGAAAACATGGAATATACAGACTATTGCAATTTAATAATTTTTTTCCTGAGGTGAGAAATCCCATTACTCACCATGTTGAATTTCATCCACACATTCATGGCTGAAGTATGTCGAATTCTTGAATTTTTCAACTTCGAAATATATTAACTGACATAACTTATAACTCTTAAGTCTACGCATTACTGCCATAGCATTTTTCAAAATGATAGGAAAAATTGAGAAGAAACCCATTTTGAGGATACCGAAGTTAAAAGATAGCAGTTCGTATGTCACGTTTTCCTCAAGTAAACTTCTATTTCATTCTTCCAGAGTACCACATCTTGGGACCGAGAGCAGCTAATCAAGCTTCCTAATCTAATATGTTCAATACTCCATTTCAAACATGACAGGCCTACTACTCGAAAAATTAAAATTCTTTTTCTTTATAATGAAATTGATTTTTTAAGCATCAATTTCATTCTAAACTAATTTGTGCTTCTACACATGGATAGTGTTAGCAGATGCAACTCTGAACCTAGATTTCTGCTTTCAATTTATTATTTAAGAAATTTCTATACCCCATCCAAAGCTTTGTCGAGTTTTAATTGACCGACAGCGTATATGAACCTCCAGAAGTCAAAACTTTACTATAGGAAATTAGAAAATCCGAAGCTTATCTAAAAAGCAGACTTACATGCGGGACTCGGGATCCTTGCGAGGATCATATCCTTTTCTGATCCAGAACCTCAAGTATGGCCCATTTGAAAAGTAATATGCTGCTATAAAAAGAAGCCTGGAAATTGGAAACGGGCATACGTTAGAGATTTTAAGTCTAATACGTGTGCGCCAGTATAAATGTACACCAAGAATAGATAAGTTGACAAGACACTAACAAAGGAACCCACCTTCTGAGCACTTTGTTTACAACACTTATACCTCGGTCAAGTAACTGTTCAGCTAATGAATGTTTGATCCATATTGGACGCTCATCAAACATTTCACAAACTGCCATCTGCAATCGCCATTGATCTGAATTTCTGGGTATGGAATCCTCCCAATTTACTTTCTTGGGGATCTGTGTGAATGTCAAGTGATTACATAAAAAGAAAATGCAGAAGNACTATATTATGATAATAAATAAAAAAGAATGCCACACGAGGTACCAAAATTGATCAGGTAGCTTTCATTCAATGCCCTCTCGTCTAAAACCCATGCTTTTCACATTTAACGCCATCAGCAGATAACATTCAAACAGAAACGAGATGCAAACAATTCATGGTGAATATGGAAATACAGACTCGCACTGCATATAGTTTTCCTGTGGTCAATCATAAAATTCGAATTGTTTAAAAATTATAGAGGATTCGACTGCTAAAACGAGACATCTGATGTTTTTTACATGGACATCACATGTTGTACATTACGAATTTCAACATTCAACAAGGATATCTTTGATGTTGAAGTCAATGGCAAGACACTGCTCGATCTCCATCTGCATAACATGGACACAAATCAACAAATAAAAGACAGCACTACAGGATATAGAAAACCACAATTATATCAACAGTACAATTAAAACAATCGGACAGCAGAAAACTTTAAATCTGGACAATAAAAATTGCCAACTGTTCTAGTGGTGCTGCATAGCTATCATTTAAGCATGCCATTGTGAAAGATACATAAAGATACTTTTATCTAAGACCAGAAAGCAATGCTTGGCTGTAAGTAAACTTTGTGGCTGAGGATATATAAGAGAAGATCTTTATGTTCTCTTTCGAGGAAACCTGAATTTAGCAGGCAAATAATTTGAAAAGTAATTGGCCATGTGCACATGCAATGTTGTATGCAACAATGGAGAGAAATAGTCTTTGTTATACTAGTGCAATCAATAGTTATCCAACATAATGACTGGTAATCAGTCTCCATCACATCATAAGTTTAGAAAATACAGTCATCAGACGTAACACGTGCTAATATATTAACTCAATTAATTGCTTTCTTTCCTGTAACTTACACCCCAACGTGGCTGTACAGGTTCCTCTTGTTTCTTTTTCGAACTCGGATCTCCATATGTTTTCAAACTGCAAATATACAGTCGTTAAGATTGAACACCAAGGTCTTAGTTGCATAATACAAAAAACATCCACAAAAAAGACTGAAATAAGAGGCTTCAAATTCAATATAGAACTCAATAAAGACTTTAAAAACATAGCACCAACTTGAGTTATATCACTAGAAAACAAAGAGTGCAGAAAAAGCAACCAAAAATAAAAGAACATGAAAGCGAGGCATGATACCATGTGATGATATACACAAACTATGATTGACCGATTGGATTCTAAATTGTTGAAGTTAATTCCATAAAGCCCAACTCTCCGTTATTTAATGTAGGAAATGAACCTATGGCAACCTTCTCTCTTCGGTCAGCTCCCAGCGAAGTTCAGTCCTGGAGAGGTTTGATGTAATTGACTCATAATTCACTCTTAAGAGATTCCCATCCTACATAAGGTGTAGCTACGCGTTGAAGGATACTGTTCCTTTGTTTTGAAAGGCGCAGATCCTAATCCTACTACTTAAGAACATTTATCCTTGGCCTACCTTCCCATCTATATCTAGAGGCGGCGCTCACTCGGAGGAGTAAACGGATGGATAGACTGGTATACCTGCTTTCGAGCTTGTTTGTACACTCAGCAAGGCCTTGACTTACTAAACAAAGATCCGTAAAGCAGGAACTTGGCCAAGCAGACTACTTTACTAGCCATTCAAAGCAAAGTACAGGAACTGCTTTTTAAAAAGGGCTCGACTGCTTATATAAAAAAATAGCGTACCTACGATCGCTTGCTTGATTGCCCTCTTTTTAGCTACTTACTCGGGAACAAGCTTCGCACCTCACCCCGTGAACTCAAAGGTGCCTAGCTTGCTTCTTTCCGCAAATGGGAAGTGGAATGGAGATGAGGATAGATGTAATTTAGAGCAGGGTAGCTAATGAGCGCTCCGGGGCATTCAACCTACCTACCCCTACAGTAGTAGTAAGGAACGAACGAACTCCAGCACAGTCAAAAGTATTGGCGAAGCCAAGTGAAGTCATAAGTAGTAGAGAAAAGCCTTCCATTTCCGTCACTCTAGCTCCAGAGGGCTCCGTAGAGCAGGAGCTTGTGAGACTCATCAGAAGCGAGACGCTGAAAAGCCAACTTGAGATGGGCAGTAAAAGGGGGAAGAATCCGTGTAAGAAGGAAAGAATCGCTCGCTCAACTTCGTCGACCCATATATTAGGTTGATAAATAATAGAAGAAAATAACCAGAATGGTCCATGATATTCTTCATTTTCTACTACAGTATCTATATTCAATTAATTATACAAGAAAAATAAGGTCATAACATTAGGTTGTTCATATATAACATTAGGTTATAACATTAGGTTGTTCATATACAAATGCAATTTGACAAAAGGTCACCAAAGGGATTGTTTATTCCTAAACACTACACTTAGAGAAGATTCACTACACTAATAAACTTTTCTTATTGAAAGCATCCACAATGCTCATGATAGAAAACAACAAGCTTGGTGAAGATAAGACAAAGGAAAGCATCTTACACAACTTTTTCAGGAAGATCCTTCTTTGAAAATAGTGGTGGCACTAAAATCATTAAGTCGTCCTGATTAACATCCAATAGACCAACTTCCTCTACAGAGTGCAGAAGAAAAAGTAAGGGAAAGAAACACAAAAGTCAAAACTAATTTAAAGCCAAAAGCTCAAATCAAGAACCAGGTTTACCTAATTGTGCTTCTACTTCAGCCCAATCTCTTTTCTTCCTTCGAGTTACACCAGCATGAACAGCAAGCACATGCTGATAATCCACCATCCCTTCAGAAGAAATAGATTAAACATGGCATAAGATGCATATAGAACGACATGGCTTTGCATAGCAACAGTTAAAACTACACTTATTAATATGATAAAGATCACCATTGAAGTGATATGCCTCAGAAACTCTAGAAACAATGTCAGCAAACAGCTCCTCTTGAGCTCCATCATTTATCTGTTTGACTTCTGAAGCAGATGAAATGGATTCACATTCGGGTTGCGTGATATTTTCAGTAGTTTCTGTTGACTGAGAGATTGCAATATTCTTCTCGGTGTGAAGTGAACTCGATGACGTATGGTTAGAATTCATGTTGCAAACTTTCATATTTTGCGAGTCCTTAACTTTCTTTTTGGAAATTCTCAACAGGTAATTATTGCAGGGCAGGAGTTCCCCAAAGGCTGGGTGGGAATATGGATCTTCAGGACGAAAATGTAGCTTTAACTTGTTTGACTTCTCTGAACGAACCTGAAAAGAAGGGACGGCCTGAGAAAGAGAGCATGAAAGAATATAAAAAAAAAAATATTTTTCATCATATTCACTGGCAATAAGCATGGATAAATTGTCTTCAAAGAAGTGCATTGATAAAATGTTGAAAAGCAATGGTTTACCTGAATAAAACCAGCTGTGTCCTCACAAATATACTACCTCCTTTCATAAACAAATGAATTTTTAGCTTTTCACCCACAAATGAATTGTTGAATTTATTAATAATTCTCATTGGTCTATTCTAGAAAATAAAAGGAAACAGAACCAAAAAAACTACAACCAGGAACCTTCTCGGTAACAAATAAATGCGCAGATACCTTAAGGATGCCGTCTTTTCCACCCAGTGTCTCGATTGCTCGTTCAGTTGAAGAAGGGTAACCAGGGTAATGAACAGCAAATACTTCGCTGCTACTAGGTAAAAAACCCGAAATCGAACCATCCTTTATAGCTCCCATTCCTAATCACCAACCATTAGTTACTTACCGATGTAAGTGTATTCTTTGATATTGAATAACTAAAGGTTCAGCATTTTCCTTTTTAGCCATGTTCGCACAAACAACTGACCGTGGCTAAATTTGGTTTTCAATTTGGCAATAGAAGCACAATAATAAGTGAAAATAGCAGATAATATAAATACAGATGACTAAATCAATTCATGCTATTTAGAGCTCTGAAATCAACCCCAGCATTTGAGTTTAAACATAAAAAGAACAGCTTCTGTATCAACTTGGCTTCACACTACACGTTGAAGTTCCCAAAAAGCCATCACATTCAAGACACTAATCGTCATTCAAAATCTTTTTAAAAAAAAAAAATGCATGCTAATTTCCTTTCATCCTATGTGAGGTATTCAAATAACAATAAACATAATACTTACATCAATGTCTTATAGCCTCCGCTCACCTTAATTCCACACAGCTTGTTCGCTAACTACTTTTATCTTTTCTTTTCCTTTTTATTTTTTGGGGGTTTTAAATAAAGCAGACGAGTCAAACTTGTTTTCGAACAAGAGCTACTTAGCCCGGCTCGTATAACATCTCTAGACACAATTACGAATAAATTGGAGTAGAAAATTGATGTAGCATCGCGCATCAACTCCGCGAAATGATGGCTCCATGCCCACGGATCTCCAATCCAAACAGGATATGGGACTAGACCATGCATAACAGGAAAATAACCACAAGCCAACCTGCTCAGTTGATTGGCCGACCCTAAGCAAGTGATGCATATATGAGAGATATTCAAGCTTATTGCACATCAATCACATAACAAGCATAGAAATTCAATTGCGAGTCTATGATACAATCTTCATGCAAGCTTTATAAACTATAACATTAAGATTTATCATCGAGGATTTAATATACGTGCTAATGAAACAAAATATAGTTCCTTGTGGAATAATTTTTTTACCCACCTCAAAATAAAGTGCGGTATGCGAACCTTAATTATTATGATAAATTCGAGTACTAAAAATTGATTCGGCTCAATAAATAAACTCCTTTCGAGGATCCAAATGTCGAAGTAGGAGGACATTGTTAAGCTCTTACAGGATCAAGAGAAACCACACGGCAACTTTGCGCTTTTGTATTTTCACCACAATTTTTTCATTAAAATATATATTGACCAAGTTCATGAAGGAATGAAAAGATAAGATCCAAAACTAAGGAGGGTGGATTTCTAAAGATTGTCTAAGATTAGTGTTGTAAACAAACCGAACCGAACCGAGCTTGGGTTGTTCGAGCTCGTATTCGTTTACGTTCGAATAATGTTCGTGTTTGTTCGTCTACTTCTCCAGCAAAAAATCGTGTTCGAGCTCGTTCGTTTAATTGTGACGATTGTTCGTCACAGTTCGAGTCCATTCGTGTTCAAATAATTTAATACATAAACTTTTTAAATATGTTTGATTAACTCGAAATTTGTTCGTTCGAACTTGAAAATAAAAAATAAAATAAAAATATTTTTATATTTTAGATTTTTTATTAAAAATATTATGTAAATATATAAAAAATAAAATATAATTATATTAAATTAATGTTCGCGAACATTATCGAACGTTCACGAACGAGCTCGTGTTCGTTCGATTATTAAACGACCCCAATTTTTTGTTCGAACTCGGCTCGATTAACAAACGAACGAGCTTTTTGTTCGCGAACGTTCGGTTCGTTTACAGCTCTATCTAAGATTGTAGAAATTCTAGTGTATCTATCTTAGACATTTAAGACTCTTAAAAGTCTTGAGTTACTTATTTGAGATTTAAAAAGGCTAACAAAATCATGAGGTATTCAATTTATTTGACACTGTGATTTTTTAGGACTTTATAAGATTTGCTGAGACTTAAAAAACAAACCCATATACGAAATCCAACTTCAAATCACACCTCTAGACATAAAATTTCGAAGGATTGCTCTTAAATCTAAAAATCTTAATAAGTTTCAAATCTAAAAGAAAAATTAAAATATTAGTCAAAATCCGAAACTAATTAGTCCATTACAAGAGTGAAAAACACAACAAAACCCTGCTGAGCTACAACATCTAACAAAGCTCGTTTGCTGAGCTACAGCATCTAACAGAACTCACAGGCGCAATTTTTGTATATTAAACATAGCTTCAAACAGAAAAAAAGCATTAAAGTGATTATTGCTCGACACATATCTAAAATTCTAATGCAGCCTCCAGAGACGGACAAGTATGTTAAAAGGGCGAAAGTTAGCTCCAAAAAACTGGCCGGACCATCTATGCACAGTCAAGGGACATTCTAAGACTTTCATGAAGATAGTAAAAACATAACCTCATAAACAGGCGAACAGCACATGACCATTTTCGACACCAGACAACCGGCAGGGTAATCATATCGTGGGTAATATTCGAAAAAAATATATATATAGATAAATAAATAAAATAATTAATAAAGAATTTAAAATTAATGAAATTAAATTCTCAATAAAATGAAATTAGTGTGATTTAATAGTTGCAGCCGTTTAATTTTTTCCTTCCCAATTCAAATAACGGCAAACTCCATATCAACTCTCCCAGCAAACTCCCTACCCTCCTATCGGTTGCAAGAACACAGTTAAACTCCCCTCCCAAATTCATTTTTCCTCTCGGTTCTTATCAAACGCGAGTAAAGCAATAACAGATTTCCTCAAGCAAATCTGCACTTCAATCTGCCAACACAGGTAATTCTCCTTTATCTATCGTTTTTTTAATCATTATTATTATTATTTTATGTATTTTCTGTGGATCCAAAGTGAAAATTTACAACCTTGGTCCAAAGTTTAAAAATAAAAAATAAAAAATCAACCCAAGAATCGTAAACAAACCTCAGTGGAAACTAATCAGCTCCCTCCTGCCACTTTGATTTTAAAAACCAACTGAGCGTCGGATTGGTGGCCGCCTTCCGCCGTCCGAGCGCTGGGTTCTTCTTCTTCTTATACTCAGGGCCTCAGGCTGGTTACAACGGTCTCCGAAGCTATAAGAAAGAAGACAAGAAATTTGGGGATTTTGGGCAGGCTAATAAATTATTTTTCCTCTGTGCTAGTTTAACGAAAACTAGTGCATGGCCCGTGCGATGCACGGGAAAACAATATTTTGATTGTATTATAAATTAAATAAATAAATAACATTAATCATGATTTATCCATTATTTTTAAATTAAACCGGGTTGGACATAGTCCGACCGGATGGACCGAGAACAGGTTTATAACCAGTATATTGCGCTTGAATAAAATATATGCTATCGAATCCGTCAACATCAGTATGTTGGATTGGTAGGATCGATACGATTTTCTAAACAAATTTTGTTACATTAAAAATTATTTTAAATAAAATTACATATTTAAATAAAATAGAGATTTATAAATTGTTTATCAATTAGTTTAAATATTTGAATTTATAAATTGTTTAGATATTTAAGTAACACTTTATTTAAATTTATTACAAAAAGTACTATATATATATATATATTAAAGTATTATGTATTAAAATCTGAACAACCACAAATGATTTAATAAAATAACTTGATCGTTTCGATGACGTTCCGGTTCTGAAAACCTTATATTTACCGTACATTAATAAAAATGATAATAAAGTAATTATTTTGGTCACATAAATAATAATAAAATGATATATAAATATTCATAAATTATTAATCATGTTGTCGTAAAAGTATTGTTAATATGATTATTTGAAGTTTGGACTACATAATAAAGTATTTTCAATATTAAAATTTATATTTAGGTTCAATAATCGATTTGGTCTGGTCAAACTGATACATAAGTATTTTCAACATTAAAATTTATATTTAGGTTCAATAATCGATTTGGTCTGGTCAAACTGATACATAACTTAGTTACCTGGGACCAACCAAGTTATGTCAAGTTTTTTTACTATTTTAAATATCACTTAAAAGTAATTCAATCAACGTGGGTAATACCCTAATTCAATCACCCGATTGATACAAAAGTAATTTCATTATTTTCTTTAAATATAATATTTAATTTTATGAAATAAAAAAAATTTATGATTCATATGTCTACACCAAATGATAGTATATTAAGATTATAAATTATATATCTAAAGATGAATTATTTATTTTTATTTTATGCATATTAATAAAAAATATACATAGTAATTTAAAAAAATCAAGATTAATTGATTGGGTATATATATATATATAACATGATGTATATATATATATATATATAACATGATTGAATTTTTGGATTAGAAGATATATATTTAAAATGATTTTATTATTATAAGTCAAAAAGAAAAGATGTCATAAAGATTACAACTTTGAAAAGTTTGTAACCATTAATTTAGGAACCATCCGATTTTAAATGATTTATAATTTTTGAAACAGGATACGTCATATAAAACCCATTAATTTAGGAATCATCCATTTTTTTGATAATAAATTAAAATTAAAATGTAAAATAAAAAAATTGCTAAAAATAGTATATAATAAATGTGGGTTGACTTTCCTTATTACTATTTATGGTAAATGTTAATTCTTATTATATATATATAGATTTAGAATTTTCTGGGTTTACGTTGTCGGCACAGAGTATGTGGGCGTGTATAATTTGTGCTATGTATAATTTGTGTGTGTTCAATTTTGTGTGTGATATGAGTTATGACTTCGGATACTTAGATACAAGTCTAACTCAAAAAAATCCAAATATTTATAATTCAATTATTTTTTTAATTCAACTTCACTATTAATATCTATATCTATCTATATTTATATCTACATATATATATAATACTAAGAATTAACATTTACCATAAATAGTAGTAAGAAAAAGTCAAACCACATTTATTATATACTATTTTCAGCAATTTATTTATTTTATATTTATATATATATATATATATATATTGAACGCTAAAAATATTCTTTAAATTGCATACCCAATCAATTAATCTTAATTTTTTTTAAAATTACTATGTTTATTTTTTATTAATATGCATAAAATATAATAAATAATTCATCTTTAGATATATAATTTATAATCTTAATATACTATTATTTGGTGTAGACATATGAATTATAATTTTTTTATTTCATAAAATTAAATATTATATTTAAATTAAATAAAAAAATTATTTTGGATCAATCGGGTGATTGAATTAGGGTACTGCCCACGTTGATTGAATTACTTTTAGATGATATTTAAAATAGTCAAAAAACTTTGAAACAACTTGGTTGGTCCCAGGTAACTAAGTTATTTATCAATTTGACCAGACCAAATCGATTACTGAACCTAAATATAAATTTTAATATTGAAAATACTTTATTACGTGAATGTGATGTAGTCCCAACTTCAAATAATTATAGTAACAATACTTTTATGACAACATGATTAATGATTTATGAATATTTATATATCATTTTATTATTATTTATGTGAACGAAATAATTATTTTATTATATTTTTTTATTAATGTACGGTAAATATAAGATTTTCAGAACCGGACCGTCATCGAAACGATCAAGTTATTTTATTAAATCATTTGTGGTTGTTCAGATTTTAATACATAATACTTATATATATATATATATATATATATATCTATATATATATATAGTACTTTTGTAATTAATTTAAATAAAAAGTGTTACTTAAATATCTAAACAATTTATAAATTCAAATGTTTAAACTATATGATAAACAATTTATAAATCTCTATTTTATTTAAATATGTAATTTTATTTAAAATAATTTTTAATGTAACAAAATTTGTTTAGAAAATCGTACAATAATATTGTTATTTATTTGTTTAATTTAGACTGTGTCTAAACCGGTTTAATTTAAAAATAATGGATAAATCATGATTAATGTTATTTATTTATTTAATTTATAATACAATCAAAATATTGTTTTCCTGTGAATCGCACGGGCCACGCACTAGTAATTAAATAACATCAATCAATTATTTTTACACGTCACATCAACTTTAATTGATTGTTCATACACTCACATAATTGTAACTAACCATCATTTCAAATCATCTATCTCATACTTTTATATCAAATCAATTTTAGTTATTTTATTTTAAATATTATTTTAGCATACCCACTAACAACTAACTATACCACCTTTTTCAAAATTAACCAAATCAAACCAAAAAATTCAATCAATAAAAAAAAAAAATTATATCCAAGCATCCCCCGAAGTGTGTGCTATGATTTACGTATTTAGTTAGGTAAAATGGTGTTTTATGCCCAAAAATTCTATGGTGCCCATTAGAGTACCATAAGTCATGCCACAATATGATATGCTATATGAGGTGGCTTTATTACTTATATATCTATCAATTCCAACATGACAAAAATTAAGTGACATACCAAAATTAATTAAGAAGGCAGAAAATGAAAAAAACAATAGTAATAATAAAAAAAATAAATTGATGGCGACCCAAATCGTAAAGAAAATCATCCCCTCCGCCACTGCCCTCCGCCGCACGAAAACGACGTCTGCCCAGTATGTGGCCTCGGGTCCCGTGACCCCACCTTCGAGAAGCTGATGGACAAGAACAAGAACCTCCTCAAGGTCATCTCTATATAGATCTTCATCCTTGCCTCCACCTCCGACCCGCCTCTCCCAGCGCCTCCACCTCAACCGCGGCCCCGCCGCCTTCCTCCGAAAGTACCCCCACATCTTCCGACCACCCCCACCAAGCTCTAGCCCTTCTGCTCCCTCACCCCCGCCGCCCTTGAAATAGTCCATCTCGAATCCCGGGCCATAGAAAACTCTCTCCCACTCGTCGTGACCCGATTGGTCAAGCTACTCTCCATGTCCCTCAACTCAAAGCCGTTTTCAAGGTCTAGTGAGAATTAGAGTTGCACGATGACTGCAAGGGCTCTGTGATCTCTAGGAATTCAGACGTTCTCTCTCTTGAAGATGAAAACGAGCCCAATACCGACATTCTGGTGCTCAAAGATAGTGATGAATTTAAAGATTGTTTGGTTCCTGCTGTCGACAGGTGGCAGGCCATAGAATATTGCAAAGAGGATTGTAGCATTGTAGCCCAAATTAAAATGTATGGTTTCAAGCAAGGATACCCGCCTGGGATGCGGCTGAAGTAAGGATTTCAAGGCCAAAGTCAAAGAGTGGCAGAGACGACTGACATATGTGAACCCTTATGAATTTTAGAAGAATTCAATAGAACGGATGAGGAGGACGGAAAAAAGGGCAGTGGGGATCGTGCACCAGTTCCTGAGCCTGGTTGAGGTGGAGAAGATCAGTCATTTTAGGAAGTGGTTTGGGATGGACTTGAACGTGAGGGATTTGTTTCTGGGAAAGTTTTATCTGTCGACAAAGGGGTACGCGCACACTATATTTCTGAGGGAGGCTGATCGAGCAGGATCCTGTGTATGAGGCCCAAATGAAGCTTCTCATTCTTGTTTTTATGGAGCATTGTGGGCTGGACAGAAATGGCAGCAAGACGAGCGGTGTGCAATGACTGATGGGTTGGACAAAGTTGGAATTTTTTATGATGATGAATTAACTTATATTTGCTGGAAGGGCAGTAAAAGCCAGATATTTCTTTGAACAAGTCGTTCGTCGTCTGTTGAGGGAGGACTGACCCTGAAGTAGCCGATTTTATGAGAGGCGCGGATCGTGAAGCTCAAACGAAAGTCGCGAAAGCAAGATGTTTCTTGGCCCAAGCCGTTCGTCGTCTGTTGAGGGAGGACTGATCGTGCAGCAGCCGATTTTATGATAACGCGAGATTCTGTTCAAGATCTTTTATTTATTTTTTTCATAATTTAATTTATTTTTTTATATCTTTCACAGTTTAATTTATGCCATGTTGGAATTGATATATATAATAAAATAATAAAGCCACCTCATATGACACATCATATTGTGGCATGGCTTATGGTACCCTAATGGGCACCATAGAATTTCTGGTGTTATGCCAGTATCTCCCCTTATATATTAATTCAAAACGTGCTGAGCCTAAGTGGCAGGTGCGCACGATTTGGAATCATATGTGTCAAAATATCTTGATTTGTATTTAGGTTCGGATAAAAATTTCGAAAACATAATTGGCTTAGAATAAACCATAAATAATTATTTCATCTTACCTTATAAATCTATATTTCATTACAATTGTTGATGTCGAAATTGGACGATCAACCGTCAAAGATGAATCTAATTTCTTGTGTAAAAACGAAGAACTAAATAATTAAAATGGGTGTTTCCTTTATATTTTAGAAAGAATATTTTCCTTTCTTTTTTGTTGGGGAGAAGAGGAATGGAGAAGAAGAGCCCCTCTCTCTTTTACACACACACATATATATATATATATAAAAGGTCGCGCTCCGGTGAAAATGGTGCTCAGTGAAAGAAATAAGAATAAATCTTAATCATTAAATCTTATCATCGGACGGTCAAAAAAAAGTCAGATTTTTATACTCATTAAGGGTAATTTAGACATTTTATTATAAACATGTGGGCCTACACAAACCATCCACTTACATACACCCAATACGTATCTGGCACGTGGCCATGTGATGCCACTGTTCTCTCAGCCCACCCCACCCCACCCCACCCCACCCACATTCTATCTCTCTCCCACACACAAAACACACACAAAACACACGCAGCAACACATAGTGCACATACCACTCGATCGCCGGCCACCACATCCATCTGCCGCCACATTCAGTTTCACCGCCGCCAAGCCCACGACCGCCACCGTCTCCTTCGCCGCCCGCGCAACCAGTGAATTTTGCAGAGCTCCGCCGCTGATGTCCGTCGGTTTCCTCTCGCCGGCAGCCCTTTGCGCCGCCGCTGTCATCCGTTCGACGCCACCGAGGTTTGTTGTTAGAGCCACGGCAGAGAGCAGACAAACGTCATCCGCGACCGCTCCACCACGGGAGTGACGACAGTGACGATCAACCTCCCGGCGTCGGACCCGCCTGCACTTTTCAGCACTACCAGTCGCGACCAATGGGCACCTGCCGTTCTCGTCATGGACGATGTGATGCCAAGGGGGTGGCGCACGGTTGCAAATTCTGATTAGGGATTTTCAATTTTTTTTGTTTGTTTTTTGAGAATTAGATAATGTTGAGGGACTTAATTACAATTTTTGAAATTTTGTTTGTTGTACAAATTAGTTCATGGCAACTTTGTAATTACACAATCTTTAATAAATATGTATAAATAACAAGTAAAATACACAATATGAGTACTATATACATATAATACATTGTAATGCACAATATTACTAGACTGATTGCACATTAATGACTATCAAATTACACAATAAAAGTGGAAAATGACCAAACTAATTTTTTTTTTTTCGAGATTTTATATTTCAGTTCGATTATCTGTTTCTACACACAATATTGTGCACATTCACTTATCAGTATTGCGTATTTATTAATTTATAATAATATCGTATAAATATGACAATATTTTTAAAATGCACATACCTAAACACATTTTATTACAACATATATACATTAATAATTTTCATCTAAAAAAAATAAGAATATTAAACAAAAATAGATTAAAATACTCAATATATTTTTATAACATAAAACAATAATTTATTTCTATTATGTAGTTTTTGACATCATGGTCGGTCGATTCAACCACAGACACATAGTATTCTGGTAAATTTTGATAAATTTATGAATTAGTTGAATCGACCAATTAACGACTGTCTCAACTCTGTAATTTTGTTAAAAAAAAATATCGAGATTTATGATGTGCATGTTTACACGAAATAATGTGCATTTTATATATTATTAATGTGCACTTATATAACTTTTGTTATCCTATTGTGTATTTTCACCGGTATTAATGTGCATTTCATTTGTAGCTATTGTGCCTTTGATAGGATATGGATGTGCAAAGTTCAACAAAAAAAAAACTGATCGAAATCGACTACAATAAAATTTTCTTTTTATATGACGTTTCGGTAATAAAATTTGATTTGAAACAAAAGTTCGGTCACGAATTAGACAATTATATATATATATATATACATTTGTTTTATATTTAATGTGCATATACCACACATTATTGTGCACTTCATATATCATTAATGTGCATTTACTATTTTTTATGAATTACGTATTTAACACAGGAACTAAATTATAATATGTTAAACTTCTTTTAAATTGTAATTAAGTCCCTATAAACTATCAAATTTTCAAGAATAAGCCCCCAAATCAATTTTCAATCACAGCCATGCCCACTGTTCATCCGGCAGCCCGCCGCCGCCTGACCCTCGTCAAGGACCACTCAACACGGTGACCGCCCCGCACCACCCAACGCGCCGCCGTCGTTGCCGCCTCCAAGATTTGCCAGAACAAGGATTACAATCATCTCGCTTGGTGTCGTCTCCAAGGTTTCGTCGTTGGCCGCCTCTCTTCCGTTCTCCGTCACGTCGCCTCGCCTCTGTCAGCCACCTAGTCACCTTGTCTCCGTTCACCACCGCTCGCTTAGCTCTGTCCGCCGCCGCGTCAGTCGTATTGAGTCTGTCCGCCGCCGCGCCTGTCGTCTGGAGTCCGTCCGCCACCGCGTCCGTCATCTCGAGTCCGTCCGTCGCCGCCGCGTCGAATCTCCTAAATCTGGTCGGAGTTTGTGTGCAGTTGTGTGTGTGAGAGAGCAGGTGTGCGTGTGTGATATTTGGGTAGGTGCGTGTGTGATAGTGTGTGAAAGAGATGGGAGGGATAATTGACCACGAATAGTTGGTAGTGGTGGGGACCAGGAGATGTGTGGATGTATGTGTAGTGATTAATGTAGCGCCCCGTTCGTTTATGAATTATTTAGGAATTTTTTTTTTATTATTATTATTATTATTATTATCGATATTTATTATTATTGTAATAGTATTAATATTATTATTATTATTGAATGTCTAAATATTATTATTTGCCAAATTGAAATTAGTTGCCTAATTAATATTTTCGACTATTAATATTATTATTTTAAAATAATGTACGTATTAAATAAATATTACCCGATTGTTATTTTATTTTATCGCGCGATTAAATCGAGCCCGAGAGCTGGATTATTTTTGGCAAAAACTGTATGGATCAGCCCGTGAGCTAAACCCGCACAGCCCGCCCAAGACCCGGTTGATTAATCTATGCGTGTGTGTGTGCACGTGTGGGATTTATCTTGTTTGATAAGAATAGTCAACCTAGGTTTGTATGTATATAAATACAAATATTGTATGTATTTATCTCTCCACCCATCAGAACACATCGCAGCCTTTTTATTCCCTCAAATCAGATTTCTTATTTTTGGTTCTATTCCCGATCGCGACCTTCATCGTCCCTCTCGCTCTGTCCTTTTCGGTTCTTCCCGTCAACCAATCTTGTCACCATCCTCGTCATCTGATCGTCTTCGTCTCGTATTATTTCGCCGGCCAGCTTCCTCCCCCTGCAACTCCAATCGCCGCCCTTCCATCGTCGCGCCATCATCCGCGAGGAGCAGCAGATCCCCAACCCTTCTTCCTTGCGAGTTCACAGCCGTCGTCCCCTTGCCGCCGCTGCTCAGCGCGCCTGCAACTCCGGCGACCCCAGGCCTGCCCAGCGGCGTCCCTGTGATTCCGGCAACTCGAAACCACCTCGAGCAGCGACGCCACCATCACCACCGGCGAGCCCTTCTCTCTCAGCTCACGACCAGCAGCAGTCCGACAAGCCCCGACGACGTGCCATTCCCCTTCGTGATCTTCTAACGCCGACGAGAACCCTTCTACCTGCTTCTCTACAAAGCTTTTTCCGGCGAGATTCTTTCCCCGCAGCAGCACCTTTGACGGCTCGCCTCGGCCATCGCAGCAACTCCGCAACCGAGAAGGACCACCCCAGCTCTCTCCTCGGCGAGCCGCGCAAAGCCGTCGAGCCCCGTCGAGCCTCCGTCGAGCCCGTTCGTGTTCGTGACGTTTTTTGAGTTGTTCCCGAGAACGGTACCTCGTCGTTTTTCCGTCTCGTTCAACTCGTATATGTTTTATTTCGTTGGGTGTTTATTGTCGTGAAGTGCTCGTTGATCAATGATATATATGTGTGAAGTTCTTGATGTGAATATGTGCGTTATATATTTTTATGATTTTATGTGTTCGTATGTTCGGGATCTCTTCGATTTTCTCGAAAATCGAACGAGACCTCGAAAGTCATGTAAGTCGGTGGATAATGGAACAATGTCGAGTCCTTGGTCTTATGAAAAGGCCTCGGACGATAAATTGTGTGTTGTGATTTAATTGTCAAGTTGTCGAGCTCGTTAATCGCTATTTTGATGTTCGAATTTTTAAAAATAGCTCGCTGCTCGAAACGATGCGAAATTTTGAGGGATGTGTTATCTGTTCATTTCCTGCCTTGTGTAAAATTTTCATAATTTTTTGAGACCTGTAGCTATTTTTAATAATTAAATTGTGTTCTGTCCAGAATATTGTTAAATGTATAATAAATTCATTCCTGACTGAAATGAGCTGAAATTCGAATATGTCATGCCTCTGTGTCTTATATGTGTTGTGTTAAATT